TCATTTAGTCTGCCATTGTTCGTGAATAGTTCAATAGATAATAAAAAATATACTCTATTTTTTTTTCTCAGGATAGATAAGATGTTAATCATAGCAGTTTTATCGTATAGACAATGAATTTAACACGGACAATAAATAAATAAGCCCCGTAGGTACTTGAGGTAAGGATTAAGGATTAGTAATTACAGGTTGGAATTATATGCTATAATTATATTTAATATAAACTTAAAAAAACTCCTTTGAGCACCTACCATTAATATATTGTCAGGAACTCGCCAAAAGAGAAAAAAAACGTTTATAGGAAAAAAAAACAAATTAGTACATATAAATAAACAAGCTAGTAAATATTGAGTTAAAAAAAAAGTAAAGCCCAAAAGAGAACCTTTTTTTTTGGATAAATCAAGGTTTACTATAGCAGACTGTAATATTAAAAATAGTGGATAATAAACCATCCACTAATAATTATTATTATATTCGCAAGAAGCAAAAACTTCTTAACATGCTCTAAGGTAAAAAAATTACTTGAGCTTCAAGGTTCCAAGTAAACATTAAAAGAAAGCCAAAAACATTCATTTAATTTTGGCAAAACAAAATAAACGTCGATAGTCGATAGTCGTGCAAACATTTTTTTTTTCAAAACTTATTCGATGCACAATTTCCACACTAGTATGAAGTATCATTTACAAAATAATGAAAATAATTAGAAAATTAACATGTTTTCTATCAGGCATCAGGCATATTTGCCATATTGAGATGGGGTCCATGGACCAGGGCGGCCGGCGGAGGGGCGGCGCGAGCTATTCGAAGGTCTTTGTTTGACAAAGTGAGAGATAAATATGAATGATTAATTGACTTTCATTCAATGAATGGTCTTTTTAGTAAGAACATGGGGCGTACAATATAAGGAGCGGTCAATCTCATAGGTTAAAAGCGCCAAATTTTACACTATTGCTTTTAGTCTGAGTTAAGTACTAAATAGTACCCAGTATTGTGAAATATTTGAATAAAGTAGCAGATGAAAGCGCTTCAACGCCCACATTCATTACAATCGCTAACACCTACACCGTCTGAGAAAATCTTTCAACATGTCTTTCACAATTTAAAGTCAGTTTTCTTTTATTTAATAATATATTTTACAGCTTTATGTTACTTTCATATTACATTACAAGATCTTCAGAATGTACCTTGTAACTTGTTATTACGATCATTGAAAGGTCAAAGAACTAAAACACAATTGTAAAGCTTTTAACACACTATGCAACGCACCTAAATTCCGTGAAAATTAAGTATAATTAACTAAGAACTAAAATCAAAATGAATCCGCGAAAAAAATCCGTAAAAATAGTTTTATTTAAAATGTCAAATATTCGCTTACCTAAATCTAAGAAATATTACTTATAACTATTCTATTTGTTATGTGAAATAATATAAAAGTTATTTATGAATAATTACAAAGTAATTTTTTAGCTTGTAATTGGACGGGCTTTAATTAGGCATATGGAAAACGTTGAGTTGATTTAAAAATTATGTTTGAACTAGAAATTTTTTGTTCATCTTTAAAAAGCCTTTGACTCGATGAAATTTTTTCGCAGACCGGATCTTAATTTGTCATATACCTAAATGGACTGGAAGTTATTTAAAAAACTTTTTAACAAAAAATAAAAACCTTCCTTCTTAAAAGACTTCCAGGCACTAAAATGTAAAAAATAACTAAACGGAGGTTTTCATTTAGAATAGATACCTAATCAGACATATAAAATGAGAAATTATTTAAACATTAAATATTTCCCGTGGAATATTAGGGTTGTACTTTCCTGCAAAATGTGTCTGGGCAAAATTAACAAGTGTGGTTGATCATAAATGAATATTAAGCTATTGCATAGCTTCTATCGCGGGCCTTGAGCGTGGGGACCGAATCCAGAAATTCCGTAACGAAAAAAACCTGACACCCCCCACTCCGACCGGCACAGCGGTGATACTTTTTTCCACCTATCGATAAATACCAGAACTTTTAATGACTTTTTGAAATATCACGCTTGTCTCTTTAGTTTAGCAACCCGCCTTTAGGTGGCATTGGTTGTATTGGAAAACTACCGTAATCAGCTGTTTGTGAGAAAGTATATAGGTATTTATCATCTATGTACAACAGTGAATATCTGTACTCGTATAATTTGTGTACAAAGTGTTTTTAAATATGAATAAACAAAGTGCATTTATTAATGAAGAAAGTCACGAAAAAATAGTGAAAGAAAATGAGTTAGTACTCTATATACATTCATTTTATTATTATTATCACAAATGCAGTATTATTTTTTGTTTTGTTAATTTATGTATAATACTGCTATAAAGATAACCAAAATTTTTGATATTAAAATAAGCTTGCATAAGTTGATAAAAAATGCTATGCAATAGCTTTACCGCGGCAGTCTCCGAGTGCCACATTTAATTTTTTTACATTGTTCTTGGTCATATTAAATTATTAAAGGAGTTAGACAATGTCACATTAAGTCTCTTAAGGTAACGTAGGTCCAACGAAATTTTATGTGAGGGAGCGAAATCCCCCGTAAGCGTCCACTAAACGAGTTACACGTTGACGAATTTCACTTTGATTTACCTTTACCTAGTAGGTTAGGTAGGTTTAGGTAGAAGATACCTATAGTATTATATTATCTGTGCCTTTACCTACCTTTATAGTTACGAAAGTTTTATTAAACTTTTATATTCATATTTGTCAGTCATTATTATTTTCATACGATTTAAGTTTAAATAGTAAACTTGATAAATTACCTATTTTATTCAAATTAGTCAATTTAATTGACTAATTTGAATATAATATTTATATTTTATAGGTATTACCTATAAAATATAAAAAATTAAATTAAACAAAATATCACAAGGTCATATAACAGTATGCTATTAGGACTAAATTCTATTCAGGTGACATGAAAATTATTTCACTTGTCATAAATATTCACCTTCGTAGGTTGCGTGCTGAGTATTTAATTAGCAGGCTGTTAATCGGCCACGAAACAATTAAAACCTTTGGGACGAACGCTGACATCATTTTAGTTGAATATATTTATTAGAAGGATAATTTATATATACAATTATATTAGTTAATGCAGTAATGTGGCATTGTTATCTGTTTATTTAGACTTGAGACGACGCAATGATCTGTGGATTGAATTGCTATGGCTTGCTTAAGGATTTAGAAGCAACGCGACACTCGTGCCCGATTTCACCAACAACCCATAAGCTACCACCTACGTATGGGATCCCTAGCTTAAAAGTCCCCTAAACTAGCCACTAAATTAATTTTCGTTTAACGATCGTCTTTATGTCCATATTTCGAGCACCTAAATTTGGGGGGCCTTTTAATATTTAGGTGACCCCTAACTGTTGGTGAAACAGAAACTGCCCCCTAACAGCCCCCTAACCATGCTTAGAGGATCCCTTAAACTTAGGAGACGTCGGTGAAATCGGGCATCAGTTCTCTATCTCAAATGCTTTTAATTTGACACTTATAAATTGCATTATTCTAGACTTATGTTGCTGAAAGAATTGGTCATTCATTATAATTTCCAGTCTGTGAAATTTCAAAATACAAGCAAAAGCAGAAGTTAAGTTGTGAAACAAAGATTCAATATAAAAAAAAACTTTGCTTAAAATCAACGTTATGCTCTACAAGTTTTTACAGAATCGTAAAAGCTATTTAGATTATAGGAAATGAGATATTTACAAAAAAAAACCAAAGGCTTTAAAGCGTGCCAATTCAGTATAGATTACAAAGAAAATAAACAATGTTGCCTGCTGCATGCATGCAAAGTTTCCTCACGTTGTTTTCTTTCATCGAGAAGAGGTTTTAGATGACGCTAGAGGTAAGAGACCAGATGCCTCACAATTTAAATAATTGTTAAACCAAAAATGTATAATCAAAACAATTAATTTATGAGCAGATCAATTAAATTTTGATGTAACCCATGACATAAAACTTAAATCGTAAAATATAAACTGTATTTATTTCTAATTTAAAAAATTACCAACTTCCGAACAAAACCTTCATTTAATTGCAGGAGAAGATTAAAAAATTGTTTTCATACAAAATAATTATAATTAAATGCATTACAATATGTCGATGACACGTTTGGCTCAGTTTTTAGTGACCCTACTTGCTGTGCCAGCGGTCGCGTGTTCGACTCCTGCTGGGCATCCATTTCTGTGATGAGCACGAATGTACTCCAGTCATGGGTATTTATATCACTACATAGTATAAAACAAAGTAGCTTCCCGCTGTCTGTCTGTCCCTATGTATACTTAGATTTTTAAAACTACTACTAGAGTTATTCAAGAGGAAGATTTATATGTATAATACATGCATATTATAGTACTCAAACTGCCTCCGTGGTGTAGTGGCTAGCATGTACGGCTGCACACCCGGAGGTCCTGGGTTCGAGTCCCGGGTCGGGCCAAGTTTAGTTATTGAGTCTTTCTGTATAAGTAAGCCTCAGTAACAGCCCGGAGTTGGGAAGTTGGCGGTGTTTCACCCCTCGGAGAGCACGTAAAGCCGTCGGTCCTGCGCCTTAACTCTCACTGGTCGTGTCGAGCAGTCGTCCCACCGGAATATGAGAGTGACAGGAATAGAGAGTGCACTTGTGTCTGCGCGTACACTTGTGCGCTATCTCCTGAGCAGTTGGCTAGTCTCAATGGGATTGGCCGCCGTGGCTGGAATCGGTCGGGAGAACATCATTATAGTACAGAATAACCGAGAAATTCAAAACGTACCTAGAAGCGAACCGGGCGAAGGGAGGGTGAGTCGCTAGTTTATATATAATATGTATTTATTAAAGTTATGCAAATCATTTTGAACGTAATTACCTGATGTCCCGAACCCTCGCATAAAGAAGGGACGCCCGCGCCCAGCAGTGGGACATTAATAAGGGCTGAATACATACCTTTGCTTATATGCTATGGCCCATGGCTAATACTAAATACAATATTACCTGCAATATTGAAGCCGTCAATGCCGCCATTGCAATCCACAGTAGTTGTTCCTTGGCATATTTGTGCAATAAGTTGCCACACCCCCTCTGATACAAAGTGGAGCAGTCCGACGTGTATGGTTTCTGTATGGAGTCGAGCGGGCCCTGGCCGCAGCATGAGAACGGGACGTGCCCGGTCGTGCTGTAGTCGTTCGGGCCGCTCACTCCGCAACACTCGAACTGTAATAATAATAACAATAATTAATTAGTATTCTTTATTTTTTAGGTAGACAGAAGCAGTCATAACTTCAAAAGTTGGGTTAAGTCTGTACATATATGTTTTTTTATTATGTAAGATTTAATCTCATATAGAAATTTTATTATTTTAACTATTGATGTCCAAAAATCCGTATTGTATATCAGTAATTAACAACTCTATACCTAAGAGACTATAAGATATATTTAAGTTGCAATATTTTTTTGTAAAATATCTATTCTTAAAATAAATAATTAATATATACTCAATTATAGTTTACGGAGAGTAAAGATAATACTCTAAGCGCAAGTAGATCGATTCGAACTTATACGTACTTACAATAAAATGGTAAATAGTTTAATGCAGATTTTATGCATCATATTAAAACTTTCACCTTTGCTTTACATTGGCGCGGGGGGAGGTAAAAGCAAAAGTTTGATTAGCTTTTTAATACTATAAAGTTTTGAGCATCCACAAAGTATTGAAATTATTATTTTACTAAAATTGTCACGTATTCTTATTAATGGAACCCCTTTTAATTTGAGATGTAGAGCTGAAAGAGTAATTAATGCACCTCATCCATTCCACTTAATTATTTGCTTATAAAATATAATTTGCTTTACTGAAAAGTAATAAAAAAATATATGTAAATCCCATGTTTAATCAACTCTACATTAACTGTAGGTATATTATTTTTCACTCAAAAAACCTAAATATTTGGCATCATTGACTAATAATAGTTATTAATTATTATTATTCTATCTAATGAAATCGTGATCTAGATTGTCGTATATAATATCCTCACCTTTACATGTAACCTGTCCCAACGGACAGAATCCGAGTTAGTCTCTTTGTTCTCGCCTGTAAGCAAGAAATAGGATGTCATGGTCGTCTTGATGTCTATCTCTATGTTGTCCCACACCACCATCGCCCACACGAAGCATGAGAACTCGATTACTACTACCAGTATTATTAGAAGACCCGCCTGAAATTTAAATTAATATGTTTAATTTGCAATAAATTAAATACATACATAGGTATTAAAATGACATATAAAACATTTTTGAATAAATTTAACAAGCGATGCAAGTTTAATAATATTTCATATTTTTCATATTATGATTGCATATTAGTTAACTTTTTATTAAATTCTTAAATCGTAAATATAAGTTGAAGACTCTACATTGGTTGCTATGATAGAGCAACTAGTTATGTTATTTAACAATAGATGGCGGTACAGAGTAAAAACAAATTTAATAAATAATAATCCAAGCAATTTATTTATCACAGAAAAGTGTAAAAAATTATAATATCATTTAATTTATTTCTTTGTATCATTCTTTATTAGAAATCGTAATTTAATAAGAATTTATCTTATTACCATTATAACGTGAATTTGATGCATAGATTTTGCTGTTCTCCATCCTATCCAGGCTATGGAGCATGTTATGATGGCCATCATTAGCAGGATTATCGCCGGGTACTCTACATTGACTCCTATGAAGTGCCGGTAGATGAAAAGCCGGTAGAGAAGGAATCCGCTCACGCCGAAAAGTATCAATGCTGACATCTATTGAAAAATTACAGAATCTCTAAGGAAACAACTATATAAGTAACGCTGGGAAAACGCGAATAGCAATTGTTTTACCATTTTATGTGAACTTTTCAAAGCAACTAGCGCCATTATATAGAGAAAATGTTTGTGGAAAGCGTCCTTATTTACTCAAGTAGTACAATATTTTGAAATGTGGAAATACCATTGTTTTCCTTATCTTATTAAAAAGTATATCTATATGTATCATATTATGCTTGCAGCATGTCATAGATAATAATGAATGTTTGGTTATTTTTAAGAAAGTGAACAATTCAAAGTTTCGTCGTAAGTTGTTATGACAACACACGACGCTGAATCAGCATAACGGGAAACACTAAAGAGCGGAGTTTTGTATATTTATAATGAAACTCACCGCGAACAAAATATTGAAGGTCAGCACGAGATATTTCCAGCAATTCGACGAGAGAGCCATTGTTCTTGTTCACATGTTCAACTCGGCCAAAACAAAGCGAGAGTTCCGCCTCAGATGTTTGTATGTCGCTCCGCTCGCGTAACTCACGACTGACGGTGCACCGATACACCGACGTACAGAATTAACCCGACATTTACTGTATCGAGTTATCTCGGCCAATTTTTAAAACATAGCGTAAGCCAAAGTTACCGGGAATTTATTATTTATATTGATGTATGCTTATCACATTATCGTAGCGATAATGTGATAGAAGATATTTGAAAGAAGTGTGGATATCGCATTGCCCTAGTTTTTCAGACGACAGTTCACTTTCAGCATTACGAGCTTAAAGATGTATTAATAGCTAATGACATTTCTATTTTCGAACACGCTTGTGCCTTTGCTTTATTTATTTCAATTATCATGAGATTCTTATGGTTTAATCATAGTTATTAGATTTTTCATAATACATTCAAAAATTAATCGATATTACGTACTATTTAAATACATACATACATATTATGTACTACTTTCGGCATTTGGTAGAGATTCTTTTATTTTAAATTGTGATTAATTGGTGAAAGCGTTGTTATATTTACTTTCAATATCATATAGTTGTAAAGCAATTATTTTAATTTTAACACCTTGTTTAAAATACTCGCTGGCTAAAACCACAATAAAGTGAGATCAGGATCTCGTAGCAGTTAGTTCATCCGGTAATTGAAGACGTTTAACCAATTAACATTCTGACAAATCCTTTAACAGATATCTTTAATAGAAACTACAAGTTTAATTGCTCGTAATCTTTATTGTTAATAGGAACAGGAATATGAAATATTACACTACCTATTATAGTAATATACTAGAAATACTCGCAAAAACATAAGTCTTTTACTATAGAATCTGGCAGAGATTGCACTCGAACGATTTTCATGATTTTTTTCAATTCTTCTTCCATGTCAGGACTTATGGGACCTGCTTGTTTGGCGGTACGGAGCATCATCATTGCTTTAATAACGTTCCTATCATACATAGCTAACAAAGCTAGAAATGCCCACCCATCAGAAAGCAATGGTTCTAAATTAACCGCTGCAGCTGCCCATCGCTCAGCCAACTTTTCTTCTCTTAATTTTGCATAAACCCGACCAATGGTTAGAGCTGAATGAGCAGAAGGAGCAATTTTATGAGCACGAGCTGCTCGTTGCAGTGAAACTGAAGGATTACTTTTTAGACCACCTACAGCAGCTTGTAAAAGTAAAGTAGGACAGATCTTCGCTCCCGCGCGATCTGCTTCATCTAAAGCGCTCTCACATTCTCCATCCCATCCTCGTATACAAGTTAAGCAAACTGCACGCATTTGTGACATCATAGCAGATGGTCCAAACTTTTTTATACCTTTTTCCGTCATCTCTAATGCTGCATCCAACTGGCGACGCAAAATCAATGATACCGCTCGTAAATAATAAATATCAACAGTACTATTAAGTTTAAAGTCAAAACGTGATCCTCTTGTTAAGCAACCCTCTTCCAAACATTTAAGAAGTCTTTCGCTAAATTTATAACACCGCAAACAAAGAAAGAATGCAGCAGCTATTAGAATTGGATTTCTAGAATCGACAATATCTGGTATCCAGAATCTTTCCTCTTCTCCACTCATTTCGACCCATCGGTGATAAAAAAAAATCCATTCCCTCGGCAACTCAAAAGACTTTCGCATTTTACGTGCTGCGACGAAAGCAGCATATATATTTCCTTTATTGTGATGCAATGCATGCAAAGCTGCCCAACCGATTGTCCCGGTAGTTCCATCAGAAGTATCACCTTTAACAGCTATACGAAATGCCGCTGCTGCTATTTCACCAGAATTGTCGTTACCATATTCAGTGCCTCCAAAAATCCAAAGCAAATATCGATTCCTAGTTTGAGCACTTAAAGCTTTTACAAGAAAGTTACGAGCCAAATCGTCATTTCTTTCTTCCAAAAGACGTAAAACTTTTGCAAGTAATGGTCCAGGTTGTTCTGGACTTGCTTCTAAATTTTTTTCGATGTGATGTTCTGCAATTCTTTTATCGCCAGCTATTCGGCATCTAGCTGAGGCAACTGGAGAAGAGAGACGCGATGGTGGGGTCTGGGGTGCGAATGATGATGTCACTGCGCGACGACAAGCAGCATGCTGAGCCGTAACTATATCTTGCCATTCAGTTGATGAACAATTGGAAGCTGGCGGAAACTGTTTGAGCATAGACCTTATACGTAATAGTAGACGATTGGCAGCCGTGCGTTTGATCCCTTGAGTCACTTGCGCAGAACCTTTACAGGCTAGGCCGCTTAGTTCTTTGTGTACAAATAATGCTCCACATTCTTTCTTTATATTGTTTATGTCAATAGCAGTATCATCAGAAGATATGTCTATACATAATTCATCAACAGGTATCGCAGAACCTTGAGGTGAAGGAAATCCGATGACTTCAAAAAGTGAAGCAATCTTTGCGTTAGCAGTTAAAGGATGAAATAAATCAAATCTTATTACTACATATGCAATATGACCATATTCATCTGTCACTAGGTCTGTTTCACGTGCAGTATTCTTTGCACTGGTTGGGGGTAGTTCTAATAAACCACTTATACCATCAGGTAAAATAGCTTCATTATAATGTAAAAGTTTTGCACATGTAGTTATCCCAATTTGCCCAAGTTCTAAAAGAACTCCTGCATCTACAAATGCCATATATCGTCCCCGTACATCTATTTTACCAACTCTTGGTACACCTGCTATGTCAATTAAAAACGGTGATCTTAATCTATCACGAAGTTTTGTAGAATCTACAAGAATTCGTTTCATAGCATTCCAATAAAATGAATTACAAGCCTCATTGTCATTTAATTGTAAATCTGGCGGTATAAATTTATCTTCTCTAGGAATATTAAAACTTGTATTAGCCGCGAGACCGCCATTGCTTGCAGAAGCCCATAGAATTTTTTGTGCACTATTACTACTTAAAGACATACCAAAGTTCACAGATGAAGGATCCAAGATGTCATTTAAACCTACTGCACTTATGAAAACAGTTCCTTCTCTTACTGATGGTAAACAATGGGCGGAAATCATCGTTAGCATTAAAGGAATTGTAGTTCTATCTGATTCTCCAATTGACTTAGCTAAAACTTTAACTTTACAGTCTGTTTTTAATCCTGTATTTATGTAAATCATAGGTACCTCGATAAAGATGTGTTCTTCACCTAATATTAAAGGAAACAAATCGACAGTAGCTCCAGCACGATTATCAACATTAAGAAGAGGATCTGGATCTTTGGTACATTTCCCACCAACAAAACGAATTAGAAATATTAGGGGCTGGTCAGCAATCAAGGATTGATAATAGGATTCTTTTAAGTCCAATGGTAAAGCTTCTGAATACAGTTTATGTTTATTATGCCATTTTGTCTCTAATATGACTTGACCATTAAATATAGTCAAAAATAACCAATCACCTGGACCGAGGCCTTCGCCTATTAGTTCTAAGGAAAGACTAACAGACCGTGGACTACTCAAAATATCATCAAATTCTCCATACGTACTCGATTTCTCGGTTAATGGTGTTTTCAAACCTTTCTTAATTTCTTTAGGAGCCATTTGTTATTAATTTTATTTTATGATTATTTATTAATAGCTTGACATATGTCTTTTTCTTTTTTTGGTAAGTTGTTAATAATAAAAAATAACTAATAAAAAAATATCATACTACTCGTATAATTTATTGTTTTTATTTAAGGTATTGTTTGCTTTTTTTTTTCATTTTAAACTTTACAACATCTAACAATATTTTTAATGGCATCCCACACAATATATTATAAAGTGCAACAAATCATTTATTCAAAAAGATACGAATGAAAGCCTGTTTTTTAATATAGTACGGTACATATGGAAAACGTTTAAAAATTCAAATAAATTTTAAGTCCTTTTGATATATCTCAAATAGTAACTGTCCAATCCTACTGACTGATTTCAGTCACAGTGGCCAATATTATCAAGACTAGCCATCTGCGCAGGACATATTATAATGCACAAGTGTGCACGCAAACGTAAGTGTCCTCTCTATTAGCCCGAAAGCTCGTGACGAATTTTGGGAAGGTCCTTTTGGCAAGTTGAAATTGTGAAAAAATATAATTTCGTGAATTGGCGAGTCCAGTCCTGTGAGTCTGGTATAGCTTTAGCGGTTATTTCATTACTGCGCAGTATATGACATTTTAAAATATATATATGTATATAAATAATATATTCCTTGTACACTAAACGTCCAATTGGACGTTACTTCAACACGACCGACGACGCAAGACCGTTATAACATGCTGTCCGAGACACGGGGGTATAGCACCGCCAGCATCTCCTTACTGCTCACTCACTCACTCAAACCCTCCAGACCACCTTTGAAAGTTTGAAAGATTTTTAGTTCTTTTTGTAACAACTACATTTATAGAAAACGTTTTAGTATATCTCTAGTAAAGTGAGACAACTGTTTTGAGACCAAGTATATTGTCTTCAATTAGATACTATGGGGCATGGGCGTTTTCCAATTACAACACTAAAGCGTATTATGCGGCATAGTGCTCAAATTCGAATTTTTCAACTACAGCAACGCTTCGCACAATCGAGCACTTTGAAAAGTATTGCTTTGGCGTGAACAAAAATAAAAGAAAATATAGGAAGTTTTTTTCGCGTTGTTCGTGTTTGTACGTCAAAGTGCGGCATTATGCTCTGTAATTGGAAAACATGGTATAACTGTCTGTCACATTCTTTATTACTACTAACTTTATGGTAAAATTTCAATAGACAAGCATTAAAACCTCGTTCAAAAGTCAAAACATCTTCTAACGTCGTAAACGTCAATGTCATCTGATTTCATACGTCATTTATTTATACAAATCTGGTTATTGGTCCAGAATAATTAAGATTTAAGATTACATTAAATACATTTAACATATATCCAAATTTTACGAATTATTTTTCTATATTTTGATGAGTAATTACTAAAATGTTAAAAAATGTATACTCTACTTCACGGTTTTTATAAATATATTGTTCAAAAAGACGAGTATTGTGTGTTAATCTTAGGTCTTGACAATGCGGGTAAAACGGTACAAAAATTAAAAAGTGTTATGACTTGGTCACGTAAAAATATAAACTTTATTTATAATAACATCAATTTATTTTTTGCAGACTTATTTGGAGGCTACTAAAACGAAATTTACCAAAAAGTATAAAGCAATGAATCCCAGTAGAATTACTACCACAGTAGGACTAAATATAGGAAAAATAGATGTAGATGGAGTTAGACTTAATTTTTGGGACCTTGGTGGCCAACAAGAACTGCAATCATTATGGGACAAAGTATGGTTCTAAAAGTTACTACTTATTTTATTAAGAACACTTTATACTATTACTTAAATACTCATGGGAATAATTTCAGTATTATGCCGAATGTCATGGTGTTATTTATATTGTTGACTCATCAGACAGAGAAAGAATATCAGAGTCTAAAGAAACATTTGGTAAGTTTATCACCACAATTACAAAACTTATATGTTCATATGTTAGAAATAGAGATTAATATGTATTATATACTGCAACAAGGAAAAAAAATTTTTTATTTCATAATAAATTTTTAGTTTACATTGTTTTTTAATAATGTTAAAAGACAAAGGTCTTAAAAAGTTTGATTTGATTTTAAAAATATTTCCACTTTCGTAGCTGCTATTAATAAAAGAAAAAGCTTAAAGCCTACAGGCTCCACCCGTCGGCCTGGCTTGTTTCTTATTTCAATTTATATATTATTAAGATAAATACTACCTATAAATAAATTATAATTAACTGAAATTATTTTATTTAAACAGATAGAATGATAGCTTCTGAACATCTGTCAGGAGTTCCCCTCTTGGTGCTAGCTAATAAGCAAGACATTCCAGACTGTATGGGTGTGCATACAGTAAAGCCGATATTCAATCAAAATGCCCATTTAATTGGTGCTAGAGACATTATGTTAATGGCAACATCTGCATTAACAGGGTAATTAAAATATTTTTGTGATGTCTTCTTCTTCTTCTTTTTTTGTATGAATACTTTGAACAAAAGACTAAAACAAGTCCACATCTACATTGATAGTAAACTGTAGAAGATTCAATACTTTAATGTTTTTCATGTCTACTAGCTTTAACAAACACTGAACCCAAACAATGTTTTAAAACAACAGTTTTAAAACAGTATACAAATAATAATAGAATAATACTGTAATAAGTAAATAAATGTTAATAAAAAAAATACTTAAGTGTTTATTATAATAAAAAAATGCTAATACATATTATGTATTAGCATTTTTTTATTATAATAAACATATCTCTCTTTCAAGGGGAAGAAAAGTAATGCTTAAAAAACAAAAGAATGTACATTTTTTTTATTTTCATACATCTCATAAATTATAAATCAATGACTAATCTATACTAATATTATAAAGAGAGTTTGTTTGTTTGTTTCAACATGCTAATCTCAGGAATGACTAATCCAATTTGAAGAAATCTTTTTGCCTTAGATAGTGCATATATTGAGAAAGGCTATATTAGTCCGGGAGCCAGGTAAATATTTGGTCGATTATTTCCTCTCAAGCGATAATTAGTGAAATGCATCAGACACTTGTATCATAAAGCTTTGTGAATGTAATTTATTAATTTCAAAATGTAAATTCAAAATTTTATTTTTTAACAAAGTTTGATTATATTATACATATTAGTTTTGAAGTATTTATATGAAAAAATTATTTTGTTGAAGCGTAATGCCAAATAATTTAAAAGAGGTCATTTCCTGTTGTATAAAAATTGTTAGCTGATTTTTAATACACTGCTGTAATTAATAAAAACCATCAGCTGACGGTAAGTCGAAGGAAACCTCGTCAGCTCATGCGTTTAAATAGGCGATAGATGCTCCCGCTTACTCCTGCGTTATGACTTTCAAAGTATCAGCTGACGGTCTTTCCACCGAGATACAGCCAGCTGACATGTGAATTTATTATAAGCTACCATCAGATAAATTTTCAGTTGAAAGGAAATCATTGAAAGTATACATTTTTTCGTGTTTGAGCGACCAGCTGGCGTATAATCCACCATGTTATAGTCAGCTGATTGCTTTCTTTCCTCGAGATATTAGGTTAGGAATAATTTAACAAATTTTCAGGTAAGAGGAAATGATTGAATTTATTTAAAAAAAATTCTTGCGTGCTCGCGTACGTGCATGAAGCTTTAGGATACAACTCTCTGAGGCATTCCACTAATTGTCGCTTGAGAGAAAATAATCGACCAATTTGTATCTGGCTCCCGGACCATATATCATCACGCTACTACGCAAGGAAGCAGAGCAATAATCACAAATGTCAACAAATCGGGCACACTTTCATACATTATTCGATGTTTAAACGCGGGTGAAGCCGCGGGTACTGCTAGTACATTTATAAAATTTCCCTTATACATACTTTGAAGAAAGTAAACAATCCATATGGCAAAATCCAAAAAAGTAGCCTAAAAATTAAAGTTACACCACATTTTTGACTTTAACATTTATTTTGGTAACTCCCATCTATATAATTCTTTAGTGTGAGACTAATAGTTTAATTGACATTAATGTAATGTAGAATTATATTTTTAAATTTTCAGTGATGGAGTAGATGAAGGAATAAGGTGGCTAGTGGATTGTATAAAACGAAACAGTGTAGAAAGACCGGCTCGGAATCATGACGACAATTTATAAATCCGGGCGATTGCGACATCAACCATATTATATTAAATGTTCGCACTACTAATACGATGAATAATAATTAGCTTTCCTATTAAGATAACGATGTGACGCTCCATTGTATTGTACATACAGTATTGACATTTGAAAATAAAACATTAAACGAACTGTGTCTGTATTGCTATCCTTTTTTAGTGATAAATTGTACTTTTGATAAGAGATACGTAATAACTGGATATTTGAGGAGCACCTGCCCTGATAAAACACCTCTGATAACACTACAGTTTGTACTTGTAAACGTAGTGTGACATACTTGTGAAATGTTCTAGTGAATTTAAAGTATTTTGTGCGAAATTTTATTTTTATCATGGCTTATCCCATGTATGAAGTCGACTGGAGTGTTTTACCGCCTGAGCAAAACCGAAGGTAGGTGACAAAATCAAAAGAATTCAATTACCTATATAAATTATAATCAGTTAGATTGTTTACATGATCAAAAGAGTAAAGAAAATATTTTTCGTCAGTTTCATAGCTAAGACCTAAGTATGCAAATACATACATACATACATTACAGTACATGAATTGATAGAATTACAAAAAGATTCCACGTATTCCTTTAAATATGGACAAGACGTGTTGTCACTTTTAGGTAGTCATAATAAATACTCGCTATTATTCTCCTTCTAAACATATCTATAATTAGATTTTAAAAATATTATAATCATTATTAAATAAAAATTAATTAACAGCAAATATCAAAGTCAAGCTTATCGAGCATATAATAAAATAAAAATTACTGAATTTGACTAATATTTATAAAACGTCATGTACTCTAATGCGAGAACGAGCAAGCTGCGGCCTGCGAGTCATGTCATGTCGATCGGCCATGTTGAATTTCTTGCAACGCAGGAAATGTCAGCTGGCGGCTGCCGTAATTTTTCTGTATAAAATCTGTGATAAAAGATTTATCCGCAATTTTTAGTGATATATTATAACACCCAAAATTAAAATAATATTATGACTCAGTTTTACTTTGAAGTGAAAATATGATATTATTGTTTAAAAAAGTGGCATGCGATTTCTCTTGCATTTTTATGGTTTGTGACAAGATAAAATGGTTATAAGCCTGACTAAATTCTCATAATTACTCTTATTTTCCTTACATTTTTTTTAAGTGTTTCCAAGTGATAACTATTCAGTTTGGTTTCGTTCGCTAAGTTACGTTACACCTGTCATTTTGAAGACCGATTATCCTGTGCTCGCAATCTCAAAGGAAAATCTGTATTATTAGTAACCTCATCGAGGGACCCAAGATGAACGGCTCAGAATCTGGGTAATTTTTCATTTATTTAATTCAAATGTTTGAAAGCTATGACGGTGAAAAATCTCGGCAATATCTATCATGATCACTTGTTGTCATAAGAGTCTTCTAAATAAAGTAATAAGTCTTCTATAAGTCTTTTAAGTGTCAGAACATATTAAGCTTTCAATCAATTGCTATGGAATATATTATATTCCATAGCAATTGATTTTTAAAATAACATAATGTGATGTAAACTTATCGATGTTTTTATATTTATGGAGAAGTATGTAGTTTATATAGAAAAATAGTATAAATATAATTATAATAACAATGTCTTTTAAAATTTTTGCTAAGCATTTTAAAATAAAAGTTCAGATTAAATAGAAACATTTCTGTAAAACTAAGCTTGAAAATACTATCAAGTACTACATTTAAAAAATAAAAGCAAGGTTTTTGTGTGGTTGCTGTGGTTTTGTGTAAGTCCATGTATAGTGTAAATTCATATAACAGCCATTTTAGAGTAAAAACATCATTTACTTTACTATTTATATATAATATGATGATTTATTTAATGAAAATTATTCTCATTCTTAAATATAAATTCCAAAAATCATGAGTTTCTTAAATATTGGTGTTACCTATTATCATTGTTACTTTTCACTTAATTTTATTAGTCATTTTATAAATCTGCATGTTAATAAAGTTAAAGCTAGAATTCTTCTGTTTACTTAAAACTGAATTATTTAAAGCTCGAGAGTTCAATAAAGTTCAATAAAGACATTGCTGTAGAAGAATTTAATACAATATATCCTTTTTAAATCATTATTTTTGTTTATAACTTTTTCTGATTTTGTCCTATTCAAGAATGGAAACTTAAGACTGAACATTTACCATAACTATTAATATGGAATAATGATGATAAAAATGTTACCAAAAAAGGGTGTTTATATAAACCACTACTACAATAAACTTAATAATACTAATAAATACATTTTTTATGTTTTCATTCTATGAACTACAATCATCACAAGCAGAGTTATATAGCATAGTTCTATTGTTACAGTCAACAAAGGCATGACATTCAATATAACATTCATTAGACTAAGTACTTATGCTTTATCCAAAGCTATTTATATTATTTATTTCTGTCTGTACGAGAAGGCTTGATTATTACATGTACAACCTCTTTCTAGTATACATATATATATAATGAAAACGTTTATGTACATTGTACATATATGACAAAACCAATTGCTTACTAGTCTTAATTAAAGATGTACAGCACTTTCATTAAAAGTAATTGATATTATATAAAAAAGTGACAACATATCTGTTTGTATATTTTGAATGTCTATGAGAAACCTACATTTATGTGTAAAATTTGACATCAAAATTTTCCTCAAATCAGATTCATGTAAATTTTTCCTTTATTTGTATAATGTTTAGCTTCTAAATACAACATTTTATTCATCAGACTGTAACATCCAAGTTCACTGAACTAGCGACTAGAGTTGAATAAATTTCTTTCATCTACAGGTTTAACCCAGCATTTAACATTGCCACCATAAAGCAAGTGGTAAATGAGGCCATTGAGAGAGGTGAGTATTTTTTATCTAATGTGTATTCTAATTTCTCAGGTACACTGTTATACATACATTTATAATTTTATATTTAACATGTTGAATTGTAGATTTAGTTTTTATGGTACTTTGATAAGTAGCATTTGTAGCATTTACTAAAATATAACCTTTTAATCAGATGTATTTCTAAATTAATCCTATTTGGTGAAAGCTGTATACTATGCTTTTATAGCTATTTAATAATAACTAATCAACTTCTACGGCAATTCTTTTTAAGCTTGATCTATATCTTATTCTAACATTGGGATGTTTTTGTTGAAACTTGGAAGATCAAATACTATGTGCAAGAAGTACATACTGATTAAAATATTTCTATCAATTTTTCATAATCTACACAGTACCGGATTTAGTACCTTAACGCCACCCCTAGGCATAGTAAAAAATGCCGGCCTGTTATCGAAATTTTGAATAAAATGTTGAAAATTTAATTTTTTTTAATTAATAATTTTTTGAAAAATGCAATGAAATAATTTATAAATGGTTTCATTTTTTCGAAAAATGTACTAGTTATTTTTTTTATTAATCATTTTTTGGAAAATAAAAAAACATTTTCGATAATACGAAGAAAAATGTTTTTCTCACACTCTGCATTTTGCTGCCCCTAAAAATTTGCCACCCTGGGCACTAGCCCCGGTTGCCCCTAGTGTAAATCCAGTGCTGTCAAAACAAGATATTACGTCAAATTGCTTAATATCCTTAAAGAAGTAACATTAAATAAACAATAAATCACAACAATGCACTTGAAAAACATCACCCTCCCTCTACGATAGTCGTGTAAGAATTGTCGCACACAATACTTTTAAGTTTCATCAAAGCACCCACCACGCTTTTTTTACTTTAACCAACAATGCACTGATCTATGCTTTTTTGTGTGTGTGTCGTGTAACAGTCGCGCCGGTTTCAGTACGGATGCAGACACCCACCCGGCTGCGGGATCTCATACGTCAGATAAGAGCAGCGAGGACTGCAGCGGAGGAACGCAGTGTGGTTAATAAGGAATGCGCGTATATTAGGTCCACTTTTAGAGAAGAGGACAGTGTTTGGAGGTAGGTTGAGGTTCTAGTTGATTGTTTTCTATTATTAAATTCTAGTTATAGTTTTAGTATACGTTGTTCTTTTTTGGTATTCTTTTTTTGTATTTCCTTATTTCATGGTCTTATAAGAAAATACAGTGGAAGTTTGATCATGGATTGTCATACCTTTAGGATAAAAAAAATCATATCTTTGTTTGCCGTCCAGGCAGATAAAGTCAACGCACATATATGAATTCTCTTATGCGAAAAGGTTTTAGGTAATTAATTACATGTAAGAATTTTGATTCAGATTCATGGTTGCACCATAAACACAATTCATTAAATACTACTTAGGATAATGTTGTCTAGTTAGAAAAGTCTGTAGTTAAGTGTTCTAAACTATAAAAATTATAATATAATGGACGACGCTATTTCTAATTAAAAAGTTTATACTTAGATGTCGAAACATCGCGAAGCTTCTGTACATACACATGCTGGGATATCCAGCGCACTTTGGTCAGTTAGAGTGCCTAAAACTAATCGCGAGTCCGCGCTTCACGGACAAACGGGTCGGATACTTGGGCGCCATGTTGCTACTCGACGAGCGTCAAGATGTGCATCTGCTGATCACGAACTGTCTTAAGAAGTAAGTTGTTATATCTAAATAGATTTCTTATATGGCACATTTCCAATGTTTGTTCCAACTTTATATGTTCGCTCAGCCCCTTAACTACACGCGTGCTTGAATAACTTTATAGTATACCAACACTATATGGCCTAGTATGCTTTTCTTGATGTACTTATACATATACATTAAGGATAGCCTATATATAGTATAGACTATCATTAAGGTACGGTACAAGTAGTCTATTTCATGCAGGGATAATGCAGCTTCCTACTCATAGGTATAAGAATTTTATAAATCTCATTGTGTTTGTGCGTTTACCCCTTGCGTCCAAACTCTCAAGGTACTTTTTATAACTGTATGTTACATATAATATGTAATCTGGCTGCAATGAGAAACGGATTGATTTGCTATTTTTTCCGCTGAGATTATATTAAAATGATTTCACAAGTTCTAGTCGAAGATATACATACATATATTTTAAAAGGTGTATGTATAACACTTTAGGGATAAAATAATTCAAATAGGTACCTGGATAAAAATCATCAATCAAAATAATAATAAGAAACAAATATAAATAAATGAAAATCCATCTATGACATTTACTAATAGAGTGGTTTCTCTGGTGTGGAGCTTCATACAAATATTTAGGCCCCTTCCTGACTTGGCGGTGCGGTATCCATGCAGTAAGTACGCTCTGTAAATCTATATTTATATGCATATAATATATTTGAATGCACGCTTCTGATTGGAGCGGGCTGCGCGGGAGAGGGGCGGTAAACGTGTGGCATACTGCGGCGCAGTACGGGCAGCCAGTAAAACCGTTGATACCGAGCGTAAAACTCCAAGATTTTTCAAAGTTGCTGCAAGATTCAATTGTTTTACACCGAAAACATGCCGAAAGTATACCGATAAGTGACGAGATCTGCCCGATTTCAGTAAGCTCTCGGTAATACCGCTATACAGATATCGCACCGCCAAGTCAGAAAGGGGCCTAAGTTTACGTAATATAAACGGTATTAAAGGGATTACTATTCTATATAATATTAAAGTGCCACACCTGCCCTCTCTTTATTCGGATTTCGCCTGTCATATATTCAGGTCTAATTACGAAACCTTAATACCTACATCCTGAGTCTAATAATATTTGACTACAATTTACCTCGTATCTCTATCTTCCAGTTAAAACTCTATAATAGGATTTCGATTCAGTAACTATTTAAAAAGAATATCTAGTTTTGATAGTAAAACTAAATAGCACAACAATTTTCACAAGCATTTCTCATTTTTACAAATAACCATTATAAACGCGAAAGTGTGCTCTGTTAGCGTTTTGTTACGTGCTAATACTTTCTGGTAAATAGATTTTTAAGATATTTTACAGATTCTATACTAATACAAATTGTTAGGAGGTTTGAAAATTCAGTTGCTATCTTAGAAAGTACGCTAAAACTTGGAGTGCGTCATGAGGACGCTAAAAATCGGATTCGGAGAAGCGGAATGACAAATAATGTTCTATCGTGAGTGAGAATTATAGAGCGATATATGCTCAAGGTATATAAGCGCCAAAACAGTTTTTAATTCATTCATTAAACAACCAATCGAAAAATGAAATTCGGTAACTGAAGAAATACTTCTAGGTTTCGCGACAAATATGGACGGCAGTGACCCATGATCAAAAACCCTATAAGTGTGCAAAAGATGTATTTTTCGAAAAAAAATATATTGAGAAAATTTTCATCGATCGTGTTTTCAAAGGCAATTCAAGATAAAAGTCTGAAACATCAAAGCGGTTAACTTTCACATGATTGTGAGATAAATAACGATGTCTAGGTACAAAATTGCCATATGGTCGAGTCAACTTTTGTACTAAAATTGTCTCCTCAAAATTGTCGCTGGCTACCGTTTAAAAGTTGGTGAAAACTGTAGGTATTCTTTAAGTATGTTAAGGTAAAGCCATAATAAGTCACTTTGAATATAACCGACAAAGTCGAGGACGTTAACTGATTTCTAATATCTCTGAGTCTTTTTGCTTTCATATTAAATAGCGAAGATTGCAATTTATCGATCTTTGGAGAATTATCTTGTAATTTATTCTAGAGTCGTGTTAAAAAATTAAGAGAAATAAGTTTTTTTTATATCATAGTTATATATAAATTTACAGAGATAAAGCTATATAAAATATGTATAGCTTTTATAAAGGATTTAAAATTTTAAATATATTGAACTGAAATACACGGTTAGTTGAAGCCGAAGTTATGTAGTTAAAGGTTTATTCGGAGCGGAAAGAAGCCATTCACAAGGGATTACCGGCACGTGCGTACTTTGATAGGGCATTGATTTCAAATACTTGCTCCCTCGAGTAATTAGTATGATATTTAGTACGGTAAATTTTGAAATAATATTTATTTAGTATATTATATAGGTACATACATATGGTGTCGTTTTTTTATCTATACTAACATTATAAAGAGATTAAGTTTGTGAGGTTGTAGGTGGTAATCTCTGGATCTACTGAACCGATTTAGATGAAATTTGTTAAGAAGATAGTTTGAGATCCTGGAAAGGACACTTTTTATCCCGATAATTATCATTTAAGGGGTAAAAATGGGGATGAAACTTTGTATTGGGAACCAAGCTAGGAACGAACCCGAGCGAAGCGAGGTTGAATCGCTAGGAAATCTATACTAATATTATAAAGAGGTAAAGTTTGTGATATTGTGAGTTTGTGAGTTTGTGGATTTGTGAGTTTGTGAGTTTGTGACGTTGTAGGGGGTAATCTCTGGATCTACTGAACCGATTTTCAAAATTCCTTTACCAATAGAAAGCCACATTCTTTCTGAGTGTCATAGGCTTACTAACCCGAAGATTGAAAAGGCTTTTTCGTGGTAGCCGGATTTGCAAAGTAAGTCGGAGAAAAAACGGTCGAACGAAAACGTTTCTTACGAACGCTGCCTTAACGATGAGAGATATATGATTATGTTCTAGAGAAAAGTTGTAGAGCTTAATAATGCCTACAAAAAAGTCAGCGATAGCATATGTCTAACTTTTATATTTAAGTCACAAAAAGTATTTTTTTATATTAAAAAAATAAATTCAATCGGTAGGTAATGTTTATTGGTCATATAATTATCAACAATTTTGAATTCTTATCAAAATAAGTAAATTTATCGTTTAAAATGTTTAAAACAAAAAACTTTTCCCTTTTACTGCATATAATTTGGACAAATGGTTCAAGAGATAATACGATGTACACTTAGGTATGGAACCGCGAACCCGTCGTAGCCTATTGATATTTCTATAAGATGGTTTTTTTTCATAGATAATACGTCAATCTATCTATACTAATATTATAAAGAGGTAAAGCTTATGAGTTTGTGAATTGTGAGTTTGTGACGTTGTAGGGGGTAATATCTGAATCTACTGAACCGATTGAGATGAAATTTGGTAAGAAGATAGTTTGAGACCCTGGGAAGGACATAGGATACTTTTTATCCCGGTAATTACCCCCTAAGGGGGTGAAAATGGGGATGAATTTTTTTATGGGGAAGCAAGCTAGGGACGAACCCGAGCGAAGCGAGGGTGAGTCGCTAGTGATAAAAATAAACTAATTCATAGAATAGGCTTAGAATTTCTTATAACTAATTTGTTTACTATACTATATGTGTTGTGTTGATGTTTTAACTTCAGTTACAATACATTTTTGTAATCGTATTCATTTATAAAAAATATTACGTTGGAAATACCGACAGCGCTTGTGCCGTTTTTTTTGCAAAGAAGTGATGCAAATCTGTGTCACAACTCGGCATAACCAAGCCTTAAAATATTGCATTTTTATTTAGAGTTGGTTCAGTCTATGGAAAATATTAAAAAGTCAAAAAAATATTAGAAAGCTTCCTGTATACTTGTCTAACTTTCAGTAAATGTATATAATGCTAGCCGTCACCCGCGCGCTTTGCTGGCCGTACGTAAATGTTTGTTTTGGTCTTCAGAGACCTTTATGTATACTTAGGTTTTTGTTAATAAATTAAATATTCTCGTTAAATAAAAAAATATACAAAAAATAATAGATCTGTGGAAGTGGTTCATATTCTTCTACCGTTTCGTCGTACCGCTGATAGCCTGCAAAAAAACTGAACGTATTTTCTAAATTTATAGCTAGGAACATTCTCGATGAAGTCAGCTTTCAAACAAACAAAAAACTAAATTAAAATCGGTTTATCCGTTTGGGAGCTACGATTCAACATATAGATATACACTATACAGACACACAGACACACGTTAAACTTACAACTCCCGTCTTTTTGCGTCGGGGCTTAAAAAAACACTTCGATCGTTTACTCTGTTTCTATGTGAAATTTTAAAGGATATAACAATAAATAAATATAAGAACTTTTTAATACGCAATTAATTTTGCATGAAGTAAAAGAACCTTCTGGCAACCTGTCAATCGAATTTGGGTTAATATCCTATTTTTTTTTAAGAATGCCAATCTTCCCAAAGGAAGAGTATTTATTTGTATTTAGTATTTAAAAAATACATGCAATATATTATACTAATATTATAAAGAGACAGAGTTTGTTTGAAAGCGCTAATCTCAGGAACTAATAATCCGATTCGAAAAATTCTTTTTGCATTTGATAGCCCTTTCATTGAGGAAGGCTATAGGTTGTATATTATATAATATACAGTCTATCTATTCCATACTAACATTTAAAACGTAGTTGCTTATATTAAGGCTGGGCATAGTTAGAAGATTCGGACTAAACAAAGTTGCAAGTAATAAAGGCAAAAGGTTAAGCATTAAAAGGGAGGGCTTATAGGCGAGGCGCGAAGTCTGTTAAAGATGCTTTTATTAAGATTTATGTTCACTTTGGATTTATTATCATACGATGTTAGTTGTACTTTTTTTAAAGAATTCATTGATTTTACATCTGTAGGGATCGATTATTATATTTTTATTCTGTATAAAGCTTTATTAAATGTTTTTCTTCATATTACGTTGGTTTTTTTTTAATTTT